CCCATAAAAACTACATTCCCTTTTCCTCTATGATTAACAACAGCAAGTCCTCGGAGGTTGGGATAATGTCAAACCATTATACTAATTATGAGCTCTGTGCATTGAGTCCCAGGGCCATGCAGCAATAGATAATCTGCTGTGCCTCCAGCCCTTCAGCTTCCCGTCTCAGTCCAGGAGCCTTCACATCTGAGTCTTCTCTTGCCTCCACGGCATCAGGAGCCCATGACTAACTCTGACATCCTGCCAGTCTTGATGGAACCTGACCCTTCATTGCTTGCCAGGCAGGACAGGGGCAGTGGATTCCCACTCCTTGGTCAGACTCCAGCAGAGACAGACCTGCCCAGTGAGTACTGTGGAGGTGAGGGATTTGAGAAGGGACTTGGGAAACTTATTTTTTTTCATCATTAGGACAAACAGGAGAGTTGGGACAAACAGCTGGGAGGGCACCCATATAGAAAGGTTCAGGTATTTTTGACCTTAGAGGTAGAACATGAAAACCTGGAGGGAAACAACTGAGTCTCATACATTTTTGACCCCCAAGAGCCTAGCAGAGAACAATGATCTCTGCTAAATATTGAACGGACTCTTCCTTGGATCTCAGAAATAGGTGGGCGATAAGGCTCCACATGCCTAGTGCTTTCTTTTCAGTAATTTCCCCTCTTGCAGCAATGCCTCCGGGGCCTAGCAGAAGATAAAAGTGTTTATATGCATCTGTCAGGGATTTCCTAAGGAACCTCTCATTTTCCATTTAATAGAATCAACAACATTTAAATATAAATAAAAATGCTGGAAATTTTTCATAAAAGTTTAAAAAAAAAAAAAAGAGAGCCGGGACCGGTTTGGCTCAATGGATAGAGTGTAGGCCTGCAGACTGAAAGGTCCCGGGTTTGATTCCGGTCAAGGGCATGTACCTTGGTTGTGGGCATATCCCCAGTAGGGGGTGTGCAAGAGGCAGCTGGTCGATGTTTCTCTCTCATTGACGTTTCTAGCTCTCTGTCCCTCTCAATTCCTCTCTGTGTAAAATCAATAAAATATATTTAAAAATAAATAAAAAATAAATAAAAAAATAAAAAAAAGAGAGAGAGGAAAAGAGAAACGAAAGTAAATCTTATTTTGTGGACTGAGATGCATTTTAGGATTTCCACTCATTCCATGAGTGAATTACCTGGGACATAGGCTTCTACCTCTCTCTGCTATATCTATAATAATAAAAACATAATATGGAAATCGACTGAACGACTGAACAGCAGAATGACAGTCTGGATGATCACGATATAACACGCATAGGTGCCAGACCAGACAAAGCAGGTGCAATGGGATTGTGGGGGGCCTGCCATTGTCCTACAATGGCCCCGTAGAGGGAGACCCAAATCAACAGCCAGTGGGGTGAACAATCAGGGGGCTCCACCATCACCCCAAAGAGGCAGGCCCAGGCCACCCTCTGCAGGGTGATCGATGGGGAGGTGGCTCTGTAATCAACCGCCCAATGGAGGGAGGCCCATGCCACTGGCTGGGGTGTGATCAATTGTGTGTGTGTGTGGGGGTGCTCTGTGGGGCAATCATCGGGGGGCTCTGTGGAACCGGGTAACTGGGGGTGTGTGGTGGTGGATGTGGGCAGTGCCAGGCTAAGGTGAGTGCAAAAGGGGTGTGTGGCCAGGAAGCAGCAGGGCTGGGAAGCAGCCTGGGCTGTGAATGCCTACCCTGTATGAATTTCATGCGTTGGGCCTTTAGTAATAGAATAAAATGTCATCCTTCCGCCTTTCTTGGATTGTTTTTCATCAACAAACCCACAATTCCAATCTGATTTAAATATTGTCAATGACAGTTTATTAAGGGAAAACTATTTGGTGCCACACATTTGCCAGAGATGGATGTTAGTCTTCCATTTCTATGTAAGGGATACCAGCAGAGAGTTGAAAGGATTTACATACACTTCCCATTTAGTGAGTGACAGCTGTGGGATTCAGACCCAGGTCTCCTGATTCCTAGACCAGGGCTCTGTCCCCTCCACTTGCAGCACAATGATTGTTTCTTTCCAAACAAGGGCACCACCACCAATTCCTTCTCTTGGGATTTGGCTAGATCATCTGTGGTTTGCAGGGACCTATATTGCATGAATGTTGTGGATCATATGGTTTTCTATAGATAATAAGGCATGTTTCAGCACTTTTTGTAAACCTGAGATGTGAAAACATCATTCCCTATACATGATGGGCGTTTTCATGGCTCTGTCATGAAAAGACTATTGCTAGTCAGACTTTGGGGAAGTTCCTAATTTTATAACTTGGCAATCAGAGAATGGAGTTGATTTTGTGTAATTATTATATTGGGAAAACAAGTGTAGATAATTAATAGTAATGTTACCCATATGCCAATTTTTTCAACTTAAGCAATTATCTTTAATGCATATGTGTTCAGAAAATTCTCACTTTGTGATATGGAGAAGAGGCTTTAGAACTTTCTTAGTGCTGTCCTAATAAAAAATTGAAAATAAAATGAAGTTTATTCCTCAGGTGACACTAAGAATCACTTAAAGTGCTGAAATTGAAGTATGTATTTCACAGAGAGACTTGAAAGCAATGCTGTGGTAAATGAGAACTTAGGCAATAGTATACGTAGAATGAGAATATTTAGGTAAGTTTTTAAAAAATCTGCTCATGAATACATAACTAAATACTAATATTATGAAAATATTGAAAGGAAAATGCATCCACCAAATGACAGTGTTTGCCTTTGGACAACTAAGTGCAGAGGAAGATCATGCAGGGATAGCAAAATACCCTCAAGTTTTATCAATGATAAATGAGTTCCTCAGCACGTATTATTAAATAATCATATTTTTATATGGGTAGTGGGTAATATGGTATTGATAGCAATTGATAACATTAATACATCACTTATTAATAGCCTGGCAATGGTTCCCTGCATTGCCTCTATGTTAGTAAGCCCAAAGGACTTATGTAAATTTTAAAGGATGCTTTTTAAAAGGTAATTGTAAGAATCAATTAGTATTGATAACTAATGTTTATGTATTTTAATATTTATAATTTAACTTTACTTATTTCAGCAATCATATAAAATCATTATAATCAATATAACCATTTTATAGATGAGCACACTACCTAGGTGTTTGTCATAGTAGTCTTTGTTCTTTTTTCACTTTTGATTTTTCCCAAATTACATAATTTTTAGGCAAGAAATAGTTTATTATGATATGGTTTATGTAAAGTTAGGTAGTATCACAAAATAAAAATAATCAGATATATCCATAGGAATCTAGCATGTCACGCAAAGGAGTAACTATTTTTGACAAAGTAATTCTTCAGTAATTGCCTCATATTTTGACCCATCAAGAGAAATATTCAAGAGACTGATTTAGGAAAAATGCAATCGCTCTTTAAGGAAGAACTGACCTGGAAAGCTCTAAAACTGGCATAAGAAAGACTACTTAAGGTTTGAGGTCTTGTTTGGTTCTCAATTTCTCAACTGTTCATTAGAAGATTGGTTTTGATGAGAAATTAAATCTTTAGAAATGTTTGTGATTAGAGATAAATTTAAGAAGTATTACCAATCCACTACTAACCAAAACACTAAGTACAAACTCAGGCTCAGATGTTTCTCTGAGATTGTGTATCACTTATTTGGAAATAACCTTTCAAAAATAGAAGTAACTACGAAGTTTTCATTAATAATTATTTAATCATTGGTTATTATAAATTAATACCATCTTCAGGATCAGTGGTGCTTTATGATTTTGTGCCCTTAACAAAAATATACTTTTCAAATTATGAAGTCTACCAAGGTCAACTATTTATAATTTGGATTATATTTGAGAGGCTTTAACCAGAACAACCCACACATTTGAGTGAGCACGTATCTTCATGGAAGATTGATATCATAAAACCAAATAAAGGTGTAAACCCTTCAAAATAATTGCCATTAAATCTGATTATGAACATTTTATTTTAAGTTTGAGTATAGTTAATGTGGTTTTCATTCTTCTTGATTATATTCCAAATTAAAAAAATTTCTTACACTGCATTTGAGTGAGGTAAAGTACTTTTAATTGTTTTTGAGTATCTTTTAATTGGAATGATTTGTTTCTTAGAAAAAAATATTTCCCATCCCATATTTTCCTTCAAAAGTAGAAGGGTGATAGTTTATATGTTCATGGATTTGTTATTTCAAAATGTAATTTCTTCTCTAATATTCTGTGACCCAGTGACTCTTAAGTGGGTATATATATTAACAGGCAAATAGGTCAGACATCAATAAGGAAAAAGTTCTAAAAAGAATTAATGACTGAGACATGTTGCTGAAGGTAATGGGGCAATTGTATGTGATCCTCAAGAGTAAATAATTAATGTGTGAATTGCTTGAATCCAATATATGGATGCCTCTACACTTGTTTCATTTATTTAACTCTCTCTCTCTCTCTCTCTCTCTCTCTCTCTCTCTCTCTCTCTCATCTCTCTCTCTCTCTCTCGTTGGGAGCCGAGTCCCCTACCGACCTGAGAATCCGGGGATAGAGCAAGGGTAGGTAGCCCTGCCTGCTCTTGTCGGATCACTTGAGGATGTGGCAAGCAACAGTGTCCTTCGTTCTGCTGTGTGTGCAAGATTGGAATCTGCAAACATGTCCTTGATTTAACATAGCAAAGTACAGCCGACCAGATATCTTCCTGCATAGGTCTTAAGGAACTGGCACGTAGTCTCATGTCCTTGGAGGAGACTATTTGGAGGAACGCCTAGCTTCAGTAAATAAAAGAGATTGCACCCTTAATAAACTTGCTGTAGTGCTATTAGGCTTTGCAGTCCTCCTGAAGCCCCGCTGTTCCTGTCTTTTCTTTTTCTCAGCCTCCTAGCCATACCTTCAGGACCTGTAATACCGGCTGGTTCAGGTTCTCTCTCTTTCTCTCTCTCTCTCTCTCTTCTCTCTCTCTCTCTCTCTCTCTCTCTCTCTCTCTCTCTCTCTCTCTCTCTCTCTCTCTCTCTCTAAAAAAATGTGTCCTATCTGCATAGAATCACAGAATAGAACTCATGCCACAGAATTCCTCCTTCTGGGACTCTCAGATGATCCAGAACTGCAGCCTCTTCTGTTTGGGCTGTTCCTGTCCATGTACCTGGTGACCATGCTTGGGAACCTACTCATTATCCTGGCTGTCATCTCTGACTCCCACCTCCACACACCTATGTACTTCTTCCTTTCCAATTTGTCCTTGGCTGACATCAGTTTCAGCACCACTACAGTTCCCAAGATGCTGCTGAACCTCCAGACACATAGCAAATCCATCACCCATGCAGGCTGCCTAACTCAAGTTACCCTTTTTCCTCTTTTTACATGTATGGACAGTCTACTCCTGGCTGTGATGGCCTATGACCGGTTGGTGGCCATTTGTCAGCCTCTACACTACCTGGTCATCATGAGCCCTCACATCTGTGGCTTGTTGGTCCTGCTGTCATTTTTCATCAGTCTTTTGGTCTCTCAGCTGCATTACTTGATGGTGTCACAACTTAGCTTCTGTGCAGATGTGGAAATCCCTCATTTCTTATGTGAACCTTCTCAACTCTTTAACCTTGCCTGTTCTGACACCTCCACCAATGACATATTGATCTACTTTATTGGTGCCATCTTTGGTGGTGTCCCACTCTCAGGGATCTTTTTCTCTTACTATAGAATTGTGTCCTCCATTCTGAGAATGCCATCATCAGGTTCAAAATATAAAGCTTTCTCTACCTGTGGCTCTCACTTGTCAGTTGTTTGCTTATTTTATGGGACAGGCCTTGGTGTGTACCTCAGTTCAGCTGTCTCATCTTCCCCAAGGAAGGATGCGGTGGTCTCAGTGATGTACACTGTGGTCACCCCCATACTGAACCCCTTCATCTACAGTCTGAGGAACAGAGACATCAAGAATGCCTTATGGAGGATGATCAGAATATCTCTATACCTGTGCTATCATTTTTGTTCATAGGCTGGAAAAGGCAGTAAAATCAAACATTTGCAACCAGAAATTCTGAATCAGCCGTCAGACAGTAAAGATGTGTCTATATGAGTCTTTGCTTTCTGTTTACAAACTTTTCCCTCTTATCACAGCTGTAATAAAATTGGGAGATTATTTTGGACTCCTACTTAAGTTGTAACCCTCCTCCCCCAGTATTGTGTATAGTATACATAGGTATAGCCTTCTCACTTTCCTTATGCATTACCCAGGACTCTCAGTCATAAAGAGTCTTGCTTCTATCAGTATAAATAGAGCAAGTAGACAGATATGAGGTCATATTGGTGGTGGTGGTGTGTGTTGTGCGGGAGTGGGGGAGGTTGAGCAAAAAGAAGGAGAACTCATTGACATGGACAACAGTGTGTAAATTATGTAGTGGAGGAGTGTGGATGGAGATGATAGAGTGCATTTGGGGGATAAGTCCTGATGAGAAAAATAAAAGAAATGAAAAAGAAAAAAATCATAGCTCTTTTTTCTTGTTATTTATTTTTTCTATATTTTCCTCATGATTCTTCTCTCTTCCCATATTTTTTTTCTTCATGATCTTGGTCAGATCCTTGAGAAAAATAGGATGACTATTTAATTTCTTGTCCAAACCAAGGTATTTTTAAATTAAAATGGGACAGTATCAGTAGTGAGTTTGAATAAATAGTTATCAACTGGGACTTTCCTAGTAAAACTGAATATATGATTCCAGTATTCCTTTTTTCCCTATTCCATCCAACATCTCAAACAATTATATAGCCAAACATGAAAGGACAAATGCTATATAATTCCACTTATGTGAGACACCTAAAGTAGTCAGATTCATCCAAAAAATAAAGAGGGAATATGCTAATTTACCCTCATGCCATCACAAAATTGGATGAATATGCTAATTGACTGTCATGTCCTCAAAGATGGCAGCACCCACAGCCACAAGATCGTGGCGCCCAGTTCTTTCAGCCCCACAGCCACCCAGCGCCAGCCCAAGGTGCAGGCAAGCCTTAGATGGTGTTTGCCTAGCTACCCAGGGCTGCCAGAGGCTCAGGTAACCAAGGCCAGCTGAAGCTTGTGCTGTGGAAGTGGCAGCATCAGAGGTGTGATGGAGGCATTGCCTTCCCATGATTGCCGGGTCACCTCCCGCCCCTGAGGGCTCCATGATTGTGAGAGGGGGCAGGCCAGGCTGAGGGACCCCCCGGTGAATTTTCATGCACCGAGCCTCTAGTAGAGACATAAAGTAGAATAGTGGTTGCCAGAGGTTGGGGGGTTAAGGAATAGGGAATTAGTGTTTAATTGGAAAACAAAGAGTTTCATTTTTGAAAGATTAAAAGATTTCTGGAGATGGATGGTGGTGATGATTTCACAGCCATCTATATTTCAATGTGAATATAGTTAATACCACTGAACTCACTCTTAAAATAGCGAATTTTACATTAGATTATTTTCCACAATAAAGGAAAACATATCATATAGGAATGAGGGACATGTTGCCCCAGATGTTGGGTATACCACTTCGCCCTCAGCATCAGCCCCCACAGGGATCTGCCTCAGCTGCAGAGACCCACCTTAACCAAGGTCATATCTACTTCTGGGACAGCTCACTACTATGACATATGCCCCCTTGTCACCAGTTACAGAAAATACTACAAGATCATCCTAGATCCAGACCTTCCTGGTGATTTTAGGAGGCCTTTGATGGATTTCAATTTGGCTTGACTTCTTCTTCTAGCTTTCCTTACTATAAAGAGTTTGCCAAGCCACAAAGTCTGAGGGAAGAGACCCTGTAAGACTGTCTTCACTTTAGACACCAGCCACAAGTTCAGGAGTCCCCAGAGCTTCCTTTATTTCAGACCAGTAGGCCCTAAATTCAGGGACTGCCTCACATTTAAAAATTTGATAGAATGACTCACACTGAGGCAATTTCTTCAGGATCAATAATTCACCTGATGAGTCACAGAACTTAGGAAAGTGTTACACTTATGATTATAATTTTATAGCAAAAGAAAACAAATTAGAACTAGTCAAAAAAGATACACATTGGGAAATATCTGAAAGGTCCCATATGTATAACTTGTTGTCCTCTGAATTTCTGATCCATTACCTCCTCCTGGCCACAATGTGACACAATACTAAGAGTCTTGCCAACCTGGTAGCACACCTGAGATTCAATGTCCAGAGTTGTTATTGAGGGTTCATTATATAGGTTTGACTAATTGAATTATCGCCCATTTGGTTAAATTCATATTATAGCTCTCCTGCCCAGGGCTGTCATCAGTGCTCATAAAGCTCTGTCAGAGCCAGTAAGAGCTCTGCTTAGCACTTTTGCTCTGTGTTGCTCTGAGTTTTTCCTGATGATGCTAGGGCAGGTTTTTCCATGAATTCTGCCCACTGTACTAACTGTTGGGAACTTAGTCCAAGCCTTTATCCTCTGCTCAGTAGTTATAGGTGTAGGATCCAAGCCCCTCTACGTAGGACTGGACCTCCTGGGAAGCCGGGTCTTATACGAAGAAGCCATGTGAAGTTGTGGGTGTATAAGAATGAGTCTTTATTGCAGAAGCTAGTGGCCACATAGCCATCAGATAAGACAGTCTATTAGAACAGTCCTATACAGGCAGGCAGTGTCGCAATGAGACAGGAAGCTGGACATAGGCTGGTTAACACGTACATCTTTCCCACAAAGCAGCATTAGTCTCCGTACCCACAGCTATTATCTGAGCAGCCAAACGCTGGTCCCTAGACTCACCGCCTCACATCATAGCTGTTCCTAAGCTCTTATGCCTCAGCAGCTTCTCTAGCCTCTCTGGCTCAGTATCTTCTCTTGACTCATCTGCCCAGCACACTGGCTGGTCTCTGTAGCCTCACATAGTAACCACCCCTGAGCTTCTCTCCCAGCACACTGGCTGGTTAATGTGGTAGCTATGTCTGGGCTCTCTCTGAGCTCTTAGCCTTACATCATAGCAGTATCAGCTCTCAGCTCCATCTGAGCTCTCCTCTCTCCTGCACACATGGGAGCTACAGTCTCTGTGCCATCAGCCTCTGCTTCTCACACTAGCTGGTCTATAATGCATATTACCACTTAGACAACGAAGACTAGTTGTCAACAGTGGCATCAATCATTTCACTGTAGAAGGGCACAATGTACCCTGAGATTGCCGTGGCCTTGCAACTATGTATGGTATCTCAACTTAGGCCTTGAACAGTCCGGTGTATTGACAGCAAGGCCTCTGTGCTTTAATTGGCATTGACTATCAGGCACCTCTGGCTTGTTTCCACAAGCTCCATCTCTCAATTTACATGGTTGGGCTTTTTGGCATGACCAGTCCCCTTTTGGAGTCATTTCAGAGGTGTTATTCTGGTAATGGGGAAAGGCATGAAATAAGAATAGAGTCACAGTTATCTAATAATTATTCACCACTACCTATAGAAAAGAAGTTTTCTTACAGACCCTGGGAAACTAGAGGATGAAACAAAGCTGTAGAAAGATAAGATGCTTCAATGGGTCCATTATTCATAAAAGAAATACATTTGAGAACAGACCGAGGACAGGACACTCTTTGATTTGGTTGCTGTGCCTGGACTCTTTGGTGAGTTTTTCTCAGGAACACTGACCATTCTCCAGTCCCAGGAATGGGCTGAGCTGTTTGTAACATCATAGAAGATTAGCCACCTTGTTATCGGACTTTGAGCACCAGAAGGCTGGACTGCTGTCTCTATCCTCCCTTTTTCCATGTTATACTTGGGACTCACAGCTGTACTTAGCTATCTTCTCCCTCCTGTGTATATTAATCAGCCTACAGGTGAGGGAGGTCAGAGCAGTCTAGGGTGACCTGACTGCTCTCCCATACTGCCGGCATTATTGACATTAACTCTCATATGTGCTTAAACTCTGTTTCTGTTTAATTTGGCTCAAGTAGTGACAGGCGGCCTAGGACCCACTATGTCTGGTTTCAATTCTACAGAAATAAAACTTTCTATGATACCTTATCTTCCTATGGGGGCCTCTGGAAATTCTTATTTCAATGGTACTCCTAGGACCTACTGCCACTAATAACAAAAGGGGCATGAAAAGAATCTGCAATGATATGTTTTCTAAAGTAAATGCTTTAGAAAAGAGACCTCAGAGGCCTAAATCAAGGAATAAATTGGTTTCAAGTTTAGCTAAGCTGAGGTAAATGTTAAATCAATTGATATGCAAAATTTCTATTGTTGTTTTAACTTTGTAATTCTTGTGTGTGTGTGTTTAAAATATGGTTCCACTAATGAATCTCCAAAGCAGAGTTTTAAAATTATGTTTACAAGTTTCTTGAGTTCTAAAATAAAAAGGCAGCAATAACTTTGAGAGGCAAGGTAAATAAATTATTGAACAACAAATCCACAATGGTAACTGGGGTTCAAGAACTACAGGGATCTGTGGTGGTGGCAACATATCATAGAGGAGCAGACATAGAAAGTATTTTTTAATGGAGAGAACCAAAAATATCAAGGGCAGAAAAAAAAATCACATGGCAGCTACCACAATTGGTACCACTTATTCATTTTCCAATTTCCAAACCCAAGTCTGTTTTCAGATGGGGACTTGGTTCCTGCATTTTGCAAGCCAATTATATGGTTCTTTGAAATGGTAATATCCCTCAAGGACACCACTTGGGTGTAAGATGATTCCATTTGACTTCTTCCTTTCTGGAGTGAGCTGTGATTCATCTTTACCGAGATGAATATTTACACATTTTTGTTTGCTTTTTCCTGTCTTCATTCCTTAGCAAACACCACCACCCAAAGACTTAAAACATGGTGAACAAGATATGCAAATAAACATGACATATAAGAGATCCACATGTTCTAACATATTATGTATCACCCAAAGCCTCTCAGCATCATATACATAGTTTGGCAATTCTATGGCTCAATTATTGCTCTTCTGAATTATAATATACATTGCTCTGTCCTGAAATCATACTTAGAGATATGTCCCATTCAGCCAGATTTTGTCA